TGACTGAGAGCTGCTGCCCCACAAACTTCACCCACAGCAACCATGACTTTGGTCTCCATCTTCATCTGGACACTGACCCTCTGGACTCAATGTAACTCACTCATTTAACTGCTGAGGTGAACTGTGTGTGTGAAGTAGAGCAGTACTTGCATTTAGAATCTGATTCATAGTCATTGTTCAAGTCCGTGCAGGTAACCCCAAAAACATGTAATAAATGCATAATTTAACATTTATACATAGAATAAATTATTAGTAGCTTATATAGAATTAATTGATGTGTTTGTCTAGTTGTCAGGTGACTGTAACTCAGACTCCTGAAGTAAAATCTGTTTCTTCGTTTTCTTCACAAGAAACACACTCTGTGTGGAGGTAACTGTGTGTTTTTACTCTTTAATTAGTGTCTAGTGAATTATCCCTCATTCTCAGTCCTGTAGCAATGAGAGCACTAAACTGTACCATGCTGTGGAGCTCCAGTAGTGAAGAACGTTGCTCTAGCAGTCCCCATGTTACACTGTCTGCCAGTACACACTCTGACCACTGGAGGGAGACACGTCAGCACGTAGTGTGGATCTTGTGTTGGCTGTGAGAGCTGCTGGAGGGGGAGCTCCCAGGAACACACAGGAAATCTCTCCCTCCAGCAGCTCTCACAGCCAACACAAGATCCACACTATCAGTCCACCCAGCTGTGGCTCTTCCTGTTAGTAATTGTCTGTTCATACCAAGAAGGCTTTTCTCAGGTTCTTTTGAGCCATAATTTTCTTTTCTCAGATGACAAATTTTAAAACATTATCCCATGTTGCCTTGACTCCACCTACTGTTCTTCCAGGAGGTTCAACAGACCCCTCACCTGACATTCATATAGCAGTACAAAGGGAGAAATCCTGTGGATGGATTCTGTTTAGGTGAACAAAGGATATGGAAGCCACTGTTCCCATCCTATTAAATTAAGTTTTAGAGTTTGGTTTTCAACCTTTGGCAAAAGGGGGGATTTTTTATATCTTTCATATCTTCAGTTTATTCACATCCTGAAGCAACCTCTCATATTTGGCCAGCATGTCAACCTTGACTCAAGGCCTGACACAAGCCTTTGTAACTGTAGGTAAATGTTCATAATCGCACACATACAATGTTATAACACCACAGTCTTCACAGCTCAAAGTGTTATAATACATATTTTTCTTGTTATAAACATTACTGGTGAAATTAGTTTCATAAAGCTTAATAATTAATGATTTTGTAAGAGCACAAACATTTATTGAAAATGTACAAGATCTCTTTACAGATTTCAGGTGATCTGATTGATCAGATTTATGAATTAGTCCATGTAAGTGCCCTTCACAGACTTTAAGTCTTGATTAAGTAACACAAATTATTCCACAATCGCTAGTTTGTATTTTGAACAGTGGTTCATTTATTGACAAAATATACTTTTACTTCAGAAATGCAGATTGCTGTTATACAAATACATTGCATAGGATAAATTGAATCAAATTCAAAATGATCAAGACTTTTAACAGCTAAAGTGTAGCATATTCAAGCTTACATTTTGTACAAACATTACACTAATATTTAAAAATTATAATTTCTTTAATGAATAAACTAATTGGGGAAATGTAGAGCAGAGGTGATTCTAGGATCACAGCTTTAGGGGTGCTGAACACTCGATAAGACCAGACCCCCAACCCCCATCTCCCCCCATTTTTTTTCTTATCATATCTTCTCTCATTTTATAACATTAATTAGCTGATAGACATACAGACAGTGCTAATCTAGCACCTTGGCTTTACTATCAACACACAGGCCTACCAGGGGCACAACAGCCAGCCTCTCTCACTCTAATTCATACAGTGGACGGTCGTTGATTGAGAATCTGCAACATTAGCTTGCTAGATAAAAAAAAAACATCAAATATCTAACAAAAACAACATAAAGAGTGATCTGTGATTCAGTGCTGCAAAAATGAGGACTGTTGCTAATGACTGTAATGTGTTGGTGCTGAGTGATAAGAAATCCTCATCTGAGCTACTTACTGGAGCCACCACACCAAAATTGCATGGCTTCAGGGAGAGCAGGGCGGGGGAAGGGTAGGAGAGAGAAAGAGGATTAGACTAATGTATTAGTACAATTTACTACATATTCAGTCAAAGGTATGTTTTATAAAGAAAGAAATCTTGATAAAACATGTTTTAAATGTGAAAACGATGGTTTGAAAAAGTCGGGAGCGTCTGCCTCTAAAGCATGCATTCTCAAGCACAACTTTGAACACATTCCCAAACTACATGACAACATCAGCACATCTGAACTGACAGTTTCTCTGCAAGTGCTTTTAAACAGAAAAAGTTAAAGTAATACATTTAAGAAACAAGCCTAAGCATTATTCTAGTAGTGATATGGAAAATTGAGAGAACCGGTTGTTTATATTTTCTTTTTTTAATGAGTCACCCAGAAATAAACATACGTAAATATCTGCACATTTAAAAAACTTCACAATTATAATGAATACACAAGGGTAGAACATGCACACAAGATTTATTAGCAAACTTAAGGTTTACACAATTCAGGAAAAAATGGCAGCAATATACAGAGCTATAAATGTCGTTATCTTTTAAGAAAGCATTCAGAAAATTATAATCTTCCCAACAACGCCCCCATGATCATAAAATGAAATGTGATGAAAGAATGAAAATTAAATAATTAAATGATGATTAATAGAAAGAATATTAGAGTAGCAAATCTGTTGCATCAAATCGGCCTGGCGGAGCTTGCGCCTTAAGATCCAGTAACTTCAGAAGGAAATTTTATTAAACTGTAACAATTACTGATTACAGGAGTAATAAAAAAATGGATAAAATTGATTAAATTGAATAAGAGTAGATAGACAACTGCTGAACATGTATATTTGTGATACATAAATTATAATACAATTAAGTACATAATAATAATAATAATAATAATAATAAATATATTTTCTTGTAGTCAAGATTTTAATGAGATGAAGTTGTGACATAACAGACCACACTGACCAGGCTTAGATTTATAGCATCTAGGTGTTCAGAGTTGAAACAAGCATTTGGTACTGTACTGCATTGGTACAATCACCACACAGCAAAAAACAAAATCTCAGCAAGTAAAATTCACACATCAAGGCAACATATCTCATTTTTTTTTCTCTTAGATTAGTTGCTCTGATTACTAAACTCTGATGGGTTTATTTTAAGAACAGTTACCTTTATCAGCTTTGAACAGATGAAATCCAATTGTATTTTCTCGCATAAAAGCACATTGAATCAAATCATTTTCATTGTATGTTTGTTTACTTTTTCCCCATTATAGTATGAGTCCACAAGCTTGACTTGGACACTTTCATTCACCCAGACTGCAGGAAGTCTTTTGGTTTGGGGAATTCCAACCTTGCATACTCTCCATCTTCTATTTTGTAATTGTATACAGATAACATAAATGCATTCTGTTTACACTTGTGTTAAATGTGGTGAAGATCCTCCAAAGGTAGTTTCAGTGATCCATTTGTAATTCCCACACAATGCAGCTTTGGTGGTGATCTAATTACCAAAAACACTTACTGGTGTAAACAGGCTCATAAAGACATTAAAATTAATATCCTAGTGTTAAATTACAGCGTTTACAGGGAAAAGCCTCTTCTTACATTGTCTTACTTCAGTTTTACTCTAATAAAACTGTGTAAAATGACTTTGAAGTTTGATATTTAGCTGCACTATAATACACCAACCCTTTTCCTGGAGAGCTACAGTGCTGCAGAGTTTACTTCCAGCCTGCATCTAACATCTTACCCTTCCACTCACCTAACATTGGTGCATCTGATCTAGTTGTGGAAGATTGTGGTTGAAAGTGGACTCTGAAGGATGGCAGCTTTCCAGGAGAAGGGTTGGAGACCACTGGACTAAACGGGGCTGCGTTTCACCCCGACAAAACGTAGCATAACATATATTTAAACGGAAACAGTGGTAGGTTGAATCTGTTGCGTTACACAAGCATCGCAACCACAGCAACTGAGAGCCTGATGAAGAAAGTTTAAATATGATTTATTATGACAAACCTCTTCTAATGTCTTCAATGGATGCATACATAAAGCTGCAGTGGCCGCATTTGTAGAGGACTTTATTAGAATCCGTTATGTGCGTTGCCTTTTTAATGCAGTGGGGTTTATATACACATAGCTGTTGATTGGATAACACCTCTGACACACTCATCAAATGAGAAAAAATGTACCTCAAAGGCCATTGCACAACGTTTGGCACTGTTTCCACAAAACATGTCGTTCAACCCTAAAACTTTGACAAAATGATGCACAACGTTTTGGGATTGAGATTGCCCCAGCTAAGAACCTCTGACCAAAAAGTAAGCCGCAGGCTTTACACTGCCCTCTGGTGGAAGGAATTTCATTGTTTTTAAACATGAGAACATAAGTTTAGAAAGAAGCTAAACTGCTTATCAAATATTCTAATTTGCTATGTAAGTTTTTTCATTTTTTAAATGTAATTTTTAGATTAACTTTTATATTTGCATAAATATAAAAATAAATAAAATTTGTAGTTATTTCTTGTCTGGAGCCATAATGAAACCAAAGCTAAGTGGGACATGAGTGGGAATAAACTGAATTTAAAATTTCTAAACCAATTCAACAGCTCAGGAAGGCAGAGCTTAAAAGTACAGGCAATGGTGCAGTGAAATTATGCACAATGTTGTGTCTGAAGATCACAGTAACACTATCCAACACATTCCAGGTGAAATCAGCTCCAAGATCCCTTATGCATTTATATTCTCTTATCCTATAGTATTTTTGATGAAGATGTAACTTTCACACTTGATCCATCAGAATAGCCCAAGGCAATCTAATGCTATGAAAATTAATTTTGTTACGTTATCTTTCCTTTTGTTTAAATTTCCTTTTGTTTAAAAGACTGTGTATAATATTTGCAGTTTATAAGTCAACTGCAAAAACTTAACACTGTAATAAAAAGAACACTGGGGAGAGTCTACTTTATTTTGTTTCTCCAAAAACAACGCATTTAAAATTTGTCAAAAAATGAATATTTGAAATAGACTTTTTTTATTTTCTGGACCCAGCAGGCAGCACAAAATCCTCCCTAATGCATCTGTGGGTCTTTAAAATTGAATGCCTGAAGCTCTTTCCACACAATGAGCAGTGATAGGGTTTCTCTCCTGTGTGAATGCGCTTGTGTATTTGGAGATTACTATGTACGGTAAAACTCCTCCCGCACTCCGAGCACTGATACGGTTTTTCGCCTGTGTGAGTACGCTGGTGATTTCTGAAGGTACCGCTCTCTCTGAAATACCTCCCGCAGTCAGCGCAGTGATACGGCTTCTCTCCCGTGTGAGTGCGCTGGTGTCTTTGGAGGTTACTTAGTCTAGTAAAAGTCTGTCCACACTCTGAGCACAGATGTGGTTTCTCTCCTGTGTGAATGCGCTGGTGTATTCTGAGATTACTCTGTATAGTAAAACTCTTCCCACAATCTGAGCAGGTATACGGTTTCTCTCCCGTGTGAACACGTAAGTGCTGTTGGAGCGAACTGTGTTGATTAAAACTCTTCCCACACACTGAACAGTAATACGCTTTCAGTCCTGTGTGAATGCGCTGGTGTGTATGGAGATGACTCTGCTTAGTGAAACTCTTCCCACAGTCTGAGCATGGAAACGGTCGCTCTCCTGTGTGAATGCGTTGGTGGGATTGGAGAGTGCTCAGTGCCTTAAAACTCTTCCCACAACCCAAGCAGTGATAGGGTTTCTCTCCGGTGTGGATGTGCTGGTGTTGTTGGAGATTACTCTGCTGGGTAAAACTCTTCCCACACTCTGAGCAGTGGTAAGATTTCTGTCCTGTGTGAATGCGCTGATGTATCTGGAGATTATTCAGTCGATTAAAACTCTTCCCGCACTCTGAGCAGTGATACGGCTTCTCTCCTGTGTGAATGCGCTGGTGAGTTAGGAGAGTACTCTGTCTAGTAAAACTCTTCCCACACACGGAGCACTGATACGGTTTCTCACCCGTGTGAATGAGCTGGTGTCTTTGGAGGTGACTCTGTCTAGTAAAACTCTTCCCACAGTTCGAACACTGGTGAGTTCTTTCTTTTCCTGTAGTTTTCTTTGTTTGTCCATGAGATATGTCAGTTTGGAGAGTAGGAGAAGATGTTTTTGGAGGGCTGGGGCTTCTGGATGCTGTATTCTCACATTTAATCTCTGTTGATTTCAACATTGTCTTTCTCTTGGTGATATTTCTTGACGTGTTTGTGTAAGTAAATTAAACTTCTGTAGGACAGTGGGCACAGGGAGCAGGAGAAGACATAGAATGGGTCATTTTTGTCTGCAAAAGAAAAAAGGAAAGACAATGAAATGTACAATTCAAGTCCTTGAAGCTGCCGTGCCAACATCTCCACATACCTAAAGCCTTGGGTTCACGACCTGACTTTTAAACTCTTAATGGATTATAAAAAGACTGGGCATCTCACACTGTCCACTGTCAGAATTTTTTAGGCGACTGAAATATTGGGGATCACACCGAACAGAACTCTGAACTCACGCAAACTCTCACAAACTCTCACATTCTCATGTTACTAAGAGACCCAAATAAACAAATGTGGAGCAGGTAAACATGTTTAAGTGGCTCATGGATTTAAAAATCTGATGTGCGTTATTTTTTAGTTTTAAATGTACATAAACTCAACTGTGCCTTAAACTCAGCTCATTGAAAAACTTTGCTCCACACGAGAGACTTTTCACCATTTTTCTTTGTAAACTTGCTGTATTTTCTTCTTTCGTGCTCTCAGTTTTCATAGGCTGTCGCGGGAATCCATTCAGATGGAGTCGTTGACCAGTTTACACTAGATTACACTCAGAGTTGGGTCAAAAAAATCGTGTCTGATCAATTCCAACTGGTCTGAAACGCAATCAGAAGCCGGCAGTAAATTTGAGTCTGTGCCCCTCAAACACTACTTGATTATTTCTCCAACTGTCGACTCAGACTGACCCAAACATCTGCAGATTAAAGCCGACCAGCTCAGACTAAGCCAGCCTGAGAATCAGGGCTAAAGTCGGGGTAAAAATCGTGTACTGTAACCTCGGCTTAAGGCTCACTCATCTCAATAGTAGGGGCATTTTGTCCAAAAGATACTAGTATTTCTGTGAGAAAGCAAAGTCATGCTTTACAACTGGATGCACAAAAATTCCAAAGGAATTTTCTAAAAGAAGTACATTAAGAAAAACCATGCAGGCAAAAAGAGACACATTAACTTTTTTTTTTTAAAATTAGGCATTTTAAACTCTTTGCATGCTATTACCGTTAGCTACATTCCCAAAGGACATGTCTTCCAACAGCAATACAGTTTGTTTGGCACAAAGCTTGGTCTTTATATCAGCGTAAACCATTTTGTCCTACAGAACTGTCAGACATTTAATGGCATATTAAAGCCATACACATTTTTCAGCTGAAAAGTAGTATTTCCTCCCTGTGGAGCACTACATCAGACAAGTCGAGATGACTAATCTTCTTCGCAAATACGACATACAAACCCTGAATACTGTATTTACTCATTATTGATTACATATATGGGCACTTGCATTTCAAAGCCTTTTCCAGAGCTCATGACATTATACACCATATTAACCATAAACAGACAGAGTGGTGCAAACCAAAAACCTTCTAAAGAATGCAGATAATACTCATAAAGCACTGTTGGCTTACTGTTCCACATCCTCTGCAAACAGCTACATCCCATGTGCACTCTCCATGGCCCAAGGGCTAAGGACGGTCCATTCCTTTTTAAGAGGAAAAGTTACCTCAGGTGGTCAAATACACACCTCAAATGGGAACACCCTCCAGGAACTTGCACTCTATCAGGCTGTTTATAGGTTCTACCACTGAGATACGGACAGTAGGTGTTAGAATTAAGTTTAGTAGTTAGATTAGGTTGCGTATATTAGTTTGACACTATACAGTCCTATCTCTCAACTGAGATGACTTTGTCCAGGCGTTTAGTCAGCCCTCATTTATTGAGAGTATTTGTGTACATGTTACTGACTAGCAGTGCAATCAAACCACTCATGTAGAGAACTCTGACAATGAGTGCATTTACATGCACTCAATAATCCGATCAGAATCGGATTTCTGTAGTTATGTGACTATTCAAATGGTCATGTAAACAGCACACTCAGATTTCTTAGATCAGAGTAAATTAAGAAATCTGATGAAGAGGCTGGACTTTAGCTCAGTGTCTTTCAGATTTCTCAGTCTAAAAACTAAAGACTAAATACATGCTTGACGAAATGAAGGATTTAAATATTCTTTATTTTCTAGATGATGTATGTTCGTAGTTTGAGGTAAAGTGACACAATGTGTTTTTTTTTAAAGCTGCAGTATGAAGTTTGAGATTCATGTTATGTTTACGCCACGTCTTCTTCTGTGAGTTTACTGGCTGAATGTAAAACAGAAATCTGAGAACTGTCTGACTCATGCAGACCTGGAGTTTCCCCATTATCTGATTACTCAAGTGCATGTAAACACGTTAATTAGATTACTGACAAAATCTGATTTTCTGCAGTTATTGGATCATTAAGTGCACGTAAACGCACTTAGTGATCAGCAGCACCTGGCTCCCATTATTTTTTTTCTTCTGGCAGAGGCTTATATTTTACAAGAAATTTCACTGAATGACAGTTTTGGTGAGCTGGAAATATCTGTATAACTCCCCACATGACGGCAAGAGAGTCCTTGAATGTGTACAGCTTCTTCTGCGTTTGTTTGGTCTAAAAAATGCTCTGAATTGTTCAGTCTCAGATAAAGGTATAGCCAGTTCTGTGAAAGTTTTGTTTTGTTCTGTGCAATTCTGGAGCATTTCTATCTGCCCAGTCATTATGAAATGTACACATGATGTAAATGACAGCTCCTGCGTTCAAATGCTGTGGGAAAACAAAACTGGAGATACATGTTTCTTTTTGACTTCTGGACTGCGACAAAACATTAATGACTAAAATGACACTGGGGAAAAATACATTGCTTGACTTATTAAGTTCCTACTTTTATTTTAAATTGAAAATACTCAGGAAAGTACCAATGAGTCAAAGTGTTTCTTACATGTAACTAAATAAATGTAAGTAGTTTCTACCCGTCACTGAACTTCTCCAACCCAACCAGAAAAACATCACCACCACCCAAAATCACTGGGCTAAGAGCTAACATTAGCCTCCTCAGCTCAGTCTGGACAAAGGCTGCTTTTGTGTGAGCTCACATATTTCACATATTCTACATCTTTTGTTTCACATGCAAACATTTCCCTATCCTTTTATGTAAGAGTGAGTTCAAAACACGTAATAAACAGCATAGAATAAGTGTTAAATGGCTCTTTACCTTCAACAGAACAGCATCTGTTAATCACACTGTGAACATTCTTCTTCATTCCTGCTTTGTTGGCACTGAAGAACTGGAGTTATAGAACTGGCGCCCCCGCTGGACTGCTGGGGGACTAACCTCACCTGTATTCAATAACCCTGCATACTTTGGCTAGCAGTGCATGCTGAGCAATTCCTTACATTACCAGAACAACCAGCATTAGATTATCCACATTGTTGAGAAACAGATGATCTAACAGGAGACTTTTATCCCAGTTTAGTACAGCGGGACACTTTAACGCTCTACTGCTTTTAGAAACACTCCTGTTTCTGTTTAAATCCATTAGTTACACCTAAAATGTTTTTCATCTGCCTTGATCGGAATTCCCTGGCAGCCCACCTTTTAGACCTGTTTGACCAACAAGGAGCTTCCTTCTGTCCAGTGCTGTGCTGAAAGCTTCTCCTGGCCCCAACTGACCCTCCTGATGATACTGGTGCCTGTACGGATTCAAACTGGAGCTGTTTAATCACAGACTTAGTTTCACCTGTCTCACCATACTATTTCACACTTACAGATCATGACTGGTTCCTAACAGTAGCCAATGATGTTCATGGATTTAACTCTCATTTTCACTGTGATGAGCCTCTAACAGTTGGTCACAGGTTTTCATGTGGCACGATCCATGAACAGAAGTCATTTTCTAATTTACTTTTTCATTTGGTGTTTTTGACACAATATTAATCAAAGTAATGCTAAACCTTCAGAAAATGCTTTCTTACCTCCAGCTGTCAGACCAGAGACTGAGACTATGAGCTGTTTTTCTGAAATCTACAGCATTTTTTGCTGTGACATACAGTGCCATTTAAACTTATTAAAAGTTATGGTCGCTAAACTACTGCTTGTCCAAGTTGTGCTCAGAAACCAAAATGGGCTTTACTAACAATTAGTTTACCTTTGAGGACAAGCCTGGTCTCTTGAGTTGGGATGGTATCCACCTCTGGCAGGAAGGTGCAGCTCTCATTTCTTGTAGAATAACACAGAGTCTCTCAGACAGTCATCTGTGTAGGGAAGACATTCATTGACAAACCAGAACCAAGTACAAGCAGTACACAGACTGTCTAAGCCAACTGTCTGCTAGACTCCCTGAGACACCACACAGGTCTCATTCAGGGGCACAAATATGGGGGTATGTAGCAAAAACATTTCTTTTTTAGTTTTATGCATTATTTCAGCACTGTCCTTTGTATTATGTGAAAATCTCATAAATAGACCAATCAAAATGCTTCAAAATTATTTGGAATAAAATCTTCTTACGTTGACCTATATGAACATTTTTGCCCCTCTCTTGTGAACATTTTGGAGATCCTTTTGTTTTAGAAACTATACGCATGGGGGGTGCCAGGGCAGCAATTTCATGGAGTAGAAGTTAAATAAAAAATTTCAAACCAAAAATAAGCCTAAGTATTTTAATTATTGATTAAAAAACATATGTAAATAACCTACCCTTTTTTAATGTTCCCTTTTGAAAGAGTCATCCAGATATCATAAAAAATAAACAATTTTATGATGAAAATGATTAATGACAACTTCAAGGGATACACATTTACAAGATTTATTAACAAACTTAAGGTCTACATGAAAGTTTACAGCACTGTAGCACTATCAATACTAAACAGGCCTGTAAATATCATAACCATGGAGGAGGGGAGAGTATACAAACAAAATCTAACCATTTCCCAACAATGAAAGAACATAATAGATAACACTATATATAAATTATCAATAGAACAAATATATAATTATCAAATCTACTGCATCAAATCAACTAGACTGAGCTTACATCCTAATTTCTAGTAACCTCAGAAATCATTTTGGAATAAACACAAACACACACCATCATTTGATTTACACCGTCTAGGTGTTAAGTGTTGCAACAGATATTTGACACTGTTTTGTGTTGTTATAATCAACACAGAGATAATCAGACCTAAAACACCCAGAATTACATGTTCTACCATAAGTTTGCACATCTCTCCAAACCCAGAGGCCAAGCAGTGAAACTATCCACCGTAAGAAGATGGAATGCTATGGATCACAGATGATATAAGAGTAATAACAATTATATTTTCTCATCCCTTAACACTTACCTCATCAGCCAGTCCAAACTTTCAAACTTAATACATTTTTATATCACACTTTTTTAGAGTTTTTAATCACAGTGTGTTTTTTTGGGAAAGGTGTGCGTGTGCTTGTGTTCACAGGGCATGGTCACATACACTATATGGACAAAAGTATTGGGATCACCCCTCCTAAGAGTTCAGGTGTTTCAGCCACACCCATTGCTAACAGGTGGATAAAATAAAGCACATAGGCTTCTTTGCATGTGTTTACATGTACTCAATAATATGAGACGGAGCAAAATACTTTTGGAGCCACACTGAAACCAAATACATGCTTGACGAAATGAAGGCGATGTTGTTTTTAAAAAGCTGCAGCATGAAGTTTGAGTTTTACATTATGTTTACATACTGTCTTCTTCTGGGAGTTTATTGTTTGTAAAGCAGAAATCCGATTACTGCCTAACTCCTGTAGGACTGGAGTTTCCCCATTATGTGATTTTCTGCAGTTATCAGAATATTAAGTGCATGTAAATGCACTCATTGATCACTGCCACAGTGACCTTATGAAATAATGATCTGACACAATTAAGTTTTTACCTTGCTCTTTATGCATTTGTGTCTCTTTAGGCTCAAATGCCTGAAGCTCTTCCCACACTCTGAACACTGATCTGGTTTTTCGCCTGTGTCAACGCACTGGTGTGCTTGGAGGTAACTCCGTTTAGTAAAACTCTTCCCACACTCTGAGCACTGAAACCGTTTCTCTCCTGTGTGAATGCGCTGGTGTGCTTGGAGATAACTCCGATCAGTATATCTCTTCCCACACTCTGAGCACTGATACGGTTTCTCCCCTGTGTGAATGCGCTGGTGTGTCTGGAGGTAAACCAGTCTAGTAAAACCCTTCCCACACTCTGAGCACTGATACGGTTTCTCTCCTGTGTGAACGCGCTGGTGTCTGTGGAAAGTACTCTGATCAGTAAATCTCTTTCCACACTCAGCACAGTGATACGGCTTCTCTCCTGTGTGAACACGTTGGTGTATTTGCAAGGAACTATTTTCATTAAAACTCTTCCCACACACTGAGCAGTGATATGGCTTCTGTCCTGTGTGAATGCGTTTGTGTTTCTTGAGAATTTTCTGCGTAGTAAAATCCTTCCCGCACTCTGAGCAGTGATACAGTTTCTCACCTCTGTGAATGCGCTGGTGTGCTTGAAGATAACTCAGTCTTGCAAAACTGCGTCCACATTCCAAGCAGCAATACGGTTTCTCTCCTGTGTGAATGCGCCGGTGTTCTTTGAAATGATTCTGTCGAGCAAAACTCAGTCCACAATCTGAGCACTGATACGGTTTCTCTCCTGTGTGAACACGCTGGTGTGCTTTGATATGACTTGTTGTGCTAAAACTCTTCCCACACTCTGAGCAGCAATATGGTTTCTCTCCTGTGTGAATGCGCTGGTGTTCTTTGAAATGATTCTGTCTAGCAAAACTCTTCCCACAATCTGAGCACTGATACAGTTTTTCTCCTGTGTGAATGCGCTGGTGTATTTGGAGATCACACTGTCTACTATACCGCTTGCCACACTCCAAGCAATGGTACAGTTTCTCTCCTGTGTGAGTGTGCTGGTGTATTTGAAGATTAGTCTGATGCTTAAAACGCTTCCCACACTCTGAGCAGTGAAATGGTTTTTCTCCTGTATGAGTGTGCTGGCGTAGTTTACGTCTGTTTTTTGTTTGTGTGCAAGATGTGTTTGTGTGGAGAGTAGCAGAGGATGTTTTCTGAGAACTGGAGCTTCCACACACCACATCCTCATATTTAATCTCTCCTGATTTCAACATAGTGACATACTCCTCTTGGTGTTTCCTGATGCAATTTTATTGGGGAAGTAAATTAGAACTCCAAAAACTGGATACTAGAAGCAACAGGGCATTACATTCTGGAAAAGAAGAAAGAAGAAAAAAACAGTACAATTCAATATCAAATGCAACAAAAAAGAGACAAAACATAATTTGGTCAGGGATTAAAGTATTTAAATGGGTAGAAAATAGGTTTTTCTATGTTGCCTGTTGGGTTTATAAGACAGAGCTCACTAAATAATTTTAGAAATAAGTACAATAAAAGTTCTTCCAGTTCTCTGTTCAATATCGTGCAGCCCTTGAAGTCCCTGAAGCTGTTTGGGCAACATCCCCATATACCCAACACTTAACTGAAATGGCTTTTTAAATGTGCAAAAGACAATATTCTTGCTGTAACAAAGCAAAGACATGCTTTCCTACAATCAAGGACAGAGAAAATGCCAAAGGAACATAGATTATTCAGACAAATGAGAGATATCCTTTATGGTTTGCTTCTAAAAGGCACAAAATTTGATCATTATGCAAAACGTCATCACTAGCTAAATTTACTAAGGACATCCAAGAAAAGAGTTATTTCAACTAAGAATAATACAGTTTTATGCACAACTGACTCCAAAATATCAAAGGGAGTGTTGAGATGAGAACAGGGAGGAAGTAAAGGGCACAGAGAGCAGCAGAATCTGTGCCAGACCTAACGAGTGCTGTGGCTGTCAGAAGAGTGGATTTGGAAAGGTGCCGGGCTGTGTGCTACCGCTGCACCTAAAGGAATGACAGGTAGCAGCTGGTACAGGAGGAAGTGTGGGCAGGGTTTGAAGAGGTACAATACAGCAGAATGGGTGGCATGAGGCAGCAAGGACCATGGATAAGGTGGGAAGCAGTGATTCCACATGCAGTCAAATGGCCTGAGCTCTGGTTTCCTGATCTGGGCAGTCTAAGATGTATTACCAAACCCATCCAACCTCTTCACCTGGAATAAATCAGAAACACGCATATGCTCACTGCACCAGGGGGGAGGAACACTGGAGCACAATCTAAGCAGCTGTCCTGGAGCCTTGGAAGAGTGACACTACATGGGTTGCCATGAACAGGGACTGAAAGAAAATAACTGCCACCATCACCAATGCCATTTACACTTTCATTCCCAACCAATGGGAAAATTCATCATCAGGTTTGTCAGGAAGAAAAGCAGCCCCAGATCTAAAAGTAGTCATCAAGAGAGAACTGAAGGTTGCTGTTTGCTACTCTTTCTGCCATGCTGTGGCTTGCTAAGATTGTTTACAAGCTCTGCTCAGCAGCAGACTGTAAGATGTTAAAATAAGCCCATAAGTCTCTCAGCAGCAGACTGTAAGATGCTAAAAGAAGTCTCTATCTAAGAATACCAGAATTTAATCACAAGATCTGCACATACTTCTTGCCACAACTGATGTCGAAGTGCATGCATCTATTATTATAAAAAAGACTGGACGAATTTGACGTCCATAGAAGGTGCATACAGAGGAAGCCTTTGCTGTCCAAAAAGAAAATCAGGGCAGGACTAAAGTTTGCTCATGAATATCTAAGCAAGGACCAGGACTTCTGGAACAATGCTCTATGGAGAGATGAGTCAAAGACAGTTGTTTGGCCACAGTACCAGAAGCCATGTTTGGTGAAAACCAAAGAGAGTACTGGGTCAGAAGAATCTCATACCAACTGCAAAGCATGGTGGCAGAAATGTTATGGTTTGGGGCTGCTTTCCTGCCTCAGAGCCTGGCCTACTTGCAATTATAGAACTGACTATGAATATTCTTTTAAGGCCTAGATTGCTCGGAAAATATGAGTCCATCTGTCAAAGTGTTGAAGCTGAAGAAGTGGGTCTTCCAACAGGTTAATGATCCCAAACACACAAGTAAATCCACCAAGGAATGGCTCAAAAAGAAAAAACTCCCACTTGCTTCAAAACTACAATCATCATACCAATACCAAAAAATCCTGATTTAAATTCCTCAGAGTTCATACAGCCAAAGTCTGTATGACTCAACACTTCACACCTGATCAAAAAGGTCTGACAATGTCTTCATTTCCTCAGGAGGCTGAGGAGAGTTAACCTGCCACAACAGCTCCTCTGCAACGTCTACAGGTCCACAGTGGAGAGTATCCAGATCACCTGCACTGCTGTGGAAAACAAGGCCCTGTAAAGGGTGGTGAAAACTGTCCATTCCATCACTGCAGCTGTCCTCCCACCCATACAGGACATTTACAATAAAAGATGTCTGAGGAAAGCCAGTAGTATCATCTCAGACCCCACACACCCTAGCCACTTCCGCTGCCCTCTGGGAAGAGATATCAGAATATTTAAGCCAGAACAACCAGGTTCAAGAACAGTTTCCACCCTCGAGCTGTTAAGCTGGCCACAACCACCAGATTATGAATTCAAACTCTACTCGAATTAAATGCACAGGGCACTTTAATGTTATTCTGAACTCCTGTCTTATCTTTGGACTGAACACCTGAGCTTACATTCATACCATCATTTAATGAACGCTACTACATGTACATATATGTATGTAATGGCTGGTATAATGTAGTGGCCAACACCCCTGCCTTCTGACTGGGTTCAGTCCCTCACCTGGGCAAGTACCCTACACTATACCAACAAGAGTCCTTGGGCAAGACTCCTATCTTTGCCTACCTTAGTGTAAACTGATCAAATTGTAAATCGCTCCGGATAAGAGCATCTGCCAAAAGCTGTAATATAAACGTAAAAAAGCTGTACACATATACACACTTATATGCATCAGTACACCTCTGTGTACAGAAATAGCTCAAACCTTGTTATATGATGTTTAATTAACTAGTTTTGAATTAAACAGAAGGGTTATAGAATGGCCTAGTGAAAGCCTAGATGTGAATTCCATTGAAATGCTGTGGGGGATTTGAAACAGACTGTGCATGCAAGAAACCCCTCAAACACTGCACAGTCTAAAAATTTCTGCATGGAAGAGTGGGCAAATATTTCTCCCAGTTGTTTCTGCCAAAGGGGGCAGTACCGGTTCCTGAAGCCATGGGTACTTACTTTGTCAAGAGAAAAAAGTGACATCAGTTGCTTTTTTAAAATAAATGATTGCAAAGTCAAGCTCCTATTTTTTGTTGCTCTGTTACATAACGCTCATCTATACATATTGTTTAACTGTAGATCAAATACTGATATATGTCAAAAAAGAAACATTTCATTGGGTGTACTGACTTCTCCATGTGACTGTACAGCACAGCCATTTACTGTTAATTACTAGCAAAACTGTTGTTATAGCTTCTGTATAAACTCTAGAAATCTTTCTTAAGTCAGTGCCCCTTCTTTGGGTAAATGGCGTCATGAAAGGTTGTTTACAAAACCTGCTAATAACATAGCTAGAAAATCAATACCCAACATGATCTTCTGAGAAATCTATAAAGTATTTGAGTATACATAAACATAAATGATAATTGGTTATTTTTAAAAATAATATTTAATTGAAATCTTAAAGTAAAACCAGAAGTTCAAGAGTGTACTGACCTTAATTTTATCGTTTAGGTTTTACTTATATGGATGAATTTTTGGGGTAATTATTGTTACCTAAGTTTTCTTTTTCTGAGCAACAGGCAATAACATTGTGTATGACATTAACATGTACTTTTCACCCAAAACTCACAATTTGTGGGCTCCAATGCATCTAAACTTAGATAAATACATGCATTATTGTATTCTTTGTCAATATAACAATGAATACATAAATGAAGCATCAAGCTTGTTTTCTCCCCTTTTGAGCATTTATTGCCATAAACTTTCATATGCAAATCAGCTAAAAGAGAGCGGAGGTGAAAAGCTTAGAAGCTTCTTGGACCTTTTAAGACTTAAAGATTTACAAACTAACATTCTGTATAACACCCAAAGCACACTTTATAAATAATACCTCAGGAGCTGAACCAACACAACAGAATGGAATCAAATCCATAAAAAGTAGTTATGAACTAAATGTTAATGGCTAAAATGAAACTGAGGAAAAGTCGACTACTGACTAATAGACTTGAGTAGATGTAAACAATATTAGTATTAGGCACATCCATCAAAGTTCTTTTTTAATCTGAATAAATGTGCCTAGTTTCATAACAGAAACACATTTCCATCAGTAAAGATAATCTCTGTTCTCACCCAAAATCACAGAGCTTACAGTAGCCTCCTCAACTCAGTCTGAACAGGCTGCTTCTGTGTGAGCTCACGTATTTCACATACTCTACATCTTAAAGAGAACATTTCTCCTCCCATTTCTGAGTTAAAACACGGAGTAAACTCTGTGGAAAAGTGCTTATCAGCTCTTTACCTTCGGCAGAGCAGATCCTGCCCTTCCCTCCAATAACACTGCTGAGCAGATGATCTGCTTCTCTTTTTCTCCTCTTCATCTTTGGAAGACCACAGTTAAATATCTAGCGCCCCCACCTGGACTGCAGGGGACTCACACTAGAACCATTCATTTTTAATTCCACCCGCTTTCTGATAAACCCCGCCTCCTGTGCTACGATTGGCTGGAAGCGCATATGAGATGTCCGCTGATTGGCCAGTTGAGTAGCTGTGAGAAGATTCAGAGACTTTACAGAGGTAGAAACAGAAACAGGAGATGTAACGGGAGAGTTTTATCGCAGTTCAGCACAGCGGGACACTTCAACACTCTACTGCTCTCAGAAACGTAGAGTCCTAGAAAATTAGAGTGTTTATCTTCCTACTGATCCCTAGATCCCTTAGAAAAAACATTAACAATCACGTTTTTTATTGTGCATTTTTTTAGACACCCTACGTTATTGTGATGAAATGTTCCCTGCAGAAAAAAAAAACAAAGAAACCATTAAGTGTGTCTGTTGGTTTCTGATTTTGTAATATGTTTTAGCTTTTTAATGGGTTGATATCACAGGTGAACAATGCCTGTTTCTAAATGCATTTGAAGGTTTCCTAATGGGATCTAATGGTGATCTACAGGAAACTAGTGGTCTCTATTGGAAAACATTAAGCCTACCCCTATTAGAATGCACAACCATTAGGTTTTAATCCTACTAATAAATAATAATAATAATATGTTACATTTATATAGCACCTTTCACAAGCCCAGGGTCACTTTACATAGCAAATGGTTTCTAATGGTCCTTTTTCAGCAGAGTTATCATATGTTTAAAATATGTGATCACTTGATAAAAAAATGTGATTGCATGTGCTGTTTCTAGGCATAACATCACATGTGATCACATTATTTACGATGTCACATGTTCAAATGTGGCCACAATTGTTTTTTAGGTTCTTCGTGCCTCAAATATATGTGATGTTTCTGTAAGTAGTAGTATGAAATTCAAACAGATTTGCAAAGATGCAAATGATAAGACGTCTGTAGGGTCTGTTTTTATGTTTGACAAGATTTGAGTTAAAGAAACATCCCATGCTTTGCACTTGTAGGTAGAAGTTAAACTGTTTCCAGTGATTATTAGTGATAACATAATGCAACTGGTTTTGAACCAAATTCAAAAATTTGTGAATAATTGCTTTGTCTGGCTAAAAACCTTTGGGCAGTGCCTTTTCTTTTGTTGTTGTTAGCTGTGTAGCCTTTAGCATGCCAACTAGCAAGCTAATGATGTAAAGTGATGAAGTATCAGCAGTAATGTATAACACATGGAATTGTAGAAACCTAAAACCTAGCAAATCAAATGTTATGGTTTTTATATAATGAGAATTTTTTTCAAGTAGTTTACTGCTATTGACTTTAAAAAGCTTTGTCTTTGATTTTCAAGTTTCTTTATGGTTTGAAAAGATAAATGAAACAGTTTGAAATGATTTCTGAGCAAATTCTGCTGCCAAAGTCAACACTTGACTTCACTCGATCCCTTGCCTGTCCGAGGGCTCATCTTGCACAATTCATTTAAGCTAATGAAATAATTCAGTAACTCTTATAATGGTGTCAGGGCTTACCCCAAGGGAAAACTGCAAGGTCAAGTGGATGAGGGCACGTAAAAACGAGTGCTGAAAAGCTTTTCTCAATCACAGTGACTATTATGTCCATTAAGAGAACAAACCTCAGGCCTCATAGAGACATTAAAGTCAAAGAAATATATTCCTAAGACATCTATATTCTAGATTATTCAATATTAAAATATATACATTTGATTACAGTAGATAATCTTATTACTGTCTCCATATGTACACTCTGTACAGAAGTACACTCACACACAAAGGAACCTGTGCCAAGTAATTTTGGACCCTTGGGACCCTTGTTTAGATTTTTATGGGACATAGGATTAATCAATGGGATGTAGGGAAGAGGAGATCTTTGATGTCTATGTCCACACTACAGTCCAGAGGGTGGCAGTAATGCACCTTACAGGTAAGTGTCAACCGCCTTATTGCGTAAAGAAGAAGAGCTGTTACCAGTAGTCCACAGTGTTATTAGAGACAGAAACAGGAGCTTCTCTGCTGAAGGTAAAGAGATGTTCAACACTTTTTACACCGTTTACACTGTGTTTTTAACTCACATTTACAGAAATAGGTGGAAAATGTTCTCTTTCTGAAAAAATAAAGTGTAAAATATGTGAGATGTGTGAGCTAAGGGCCCAGACACACCAAGCTGATGAGGAAGAACTAGCGTCAGCTAAGGCTGATGGATGATCACTTTCTATCAGATTGCATGGCCTCTCATAAAAATGTGCTCTGCAAAGATATAAAGATACAGCTGGCAATTGATGCGCATGTACCAAAGGGAATAAGTGTAAAGCAGGAGCTGGCAGTAGTCTGTAAACTGTCAAAACTGTAACATATTAAAGTAAAAAGTAAGTTAAATAAATGTCTCGCAAGCTTCATATATCCATGTTTTGGCTAAACATAGTGCTAGATTGGTACATGTTTGAAAATATGACAATATGAAGTCATGCAGTGGTGGATCGAGGAAACATTGCCAGCTGTGGCAGGGTGGCATGTTAATGTGGCACCTTTTGCTACAAGAGTTTGTCAGCTGCTGTATGTCTAAGACAGCAGGATGCTTATGTACTCTGAACAATTGTTTTTGGAAATTTTGTAGAACTGGGTAGTTTTCACTGCACTGAATGTATCACTTAGTCCTCACAAAGTATGTCTACTGGTAGGTAGTAAGCTACATTACATCTTTAACCAAAACAATTTGGATTTGAAATCAAGATTCTCACATTAAACTCTACAGACCTTTTCTAATCATGTCTTGAGATGAATTCAACAGTAGTGAAACACTGAATGCTAACTGACAACTGAATGCAGCTCTAATGTAGTTCTTGCTATTTATTCGTTTACATAGCTTGAGTGTGCATTTGTCAACCACTTCTGAGCTACCACTCTTAAAAACGATGGTTCTTCAAGGATTCCTTAGTAAAGAAAACAGTTCTCTATAGCACCATGAGCACTCAAAGGTTCTTTCCATCGTGAAAGCGTTCTTCAGACTGATGAAGAATTTGTTGTAGATTGTTCTATATAGAACTTTTGTGAAATGGGTTCTGTATAGCACCAGAAAAGATTCTGCAGTTGTTACAATATGAGCTTGTAACAATAGAAGGACCCTTTTTGGTACTATACAGACATTCTCATATCCTAGATGGGTAAAGATCTTTCAGGGTGATGATTTTCTCTGCATATCGCACCATTTGCTGCAGGTTATGCTTGGTGTGCAAAAACCAGATGGAGATTTAGGATGTGATGATGGACTGTGGGTCTTCTTATACTTAGTCTTATACTCAGTTTCTGTTCCCCTGCCTGTTGTCACTGTCAAGCAAGAGCAAGTTTCTACAAAAAAAGCAACTTTCCCATGATAGTCAAAATTGGAAGGAATTTTGCCTGTATTTTGCCTGTATCAACTGTAGCAAACAAACATCTCAGCACTTAATTTTTTTAGCATGTATAGGACAAAGAATCTGGAAAACTTGACTGAGAGCTCCCAAATCTAACCAACGAGCCTCTCAATAGATTTACATGGCACTTTTCTCCAGTAAGATTTTGGAGAGTGTCTGTGGGAATTTTTACCCATTCATCCAGAAGAGCAGTTCTGACACTTATGTTAGACGAGAGGACCTGGCTCACAATCTCCGTTCTAGTTCATCCCAAAGGTGTTGGATGGGGTTGAGGTCAGGGCTCTGTGAGGGCCAGTCAGGTTCCTCCACACCAAACTCACCCAGCCAGGCCTTTATGGAGCTGCTTTGTGCACTGGGGCTCAGTCATGCTGGAACAGAAAAGGTTCTTCCCCAAACTGTTCCCACAAAGTTGGAAGTGTACAATTGTCCAAAATGTCTTGGTTCTGCTGAAGCTTCAGGATTTCGCTTCACTGGAACTAAGGGGCCTAGGCCAATCCCTGAAAACAAACCCATAGCATCATCCCTCTGCCACCAAACTTTACAGTTGGCAAAATACTGTCATGCAGGTAACGTTCTCCTGGCATTTGCCAAACCCAGACTGGTCCATCAGACTGACAGATAGAGAAGCGTGATTCGTCACTCCACAGAATGCATTTCCACTGCTCCAAGTTCAGTGGTGGCATGCTTTATACAAGGGTATCCGACACTTGGCATTGTGCATTTTGATCTTAGGCTTGTGTGTAGCTGCTCAGCCATGGAAACTTATTTCGTGAAACTCCTAACTCACAGTTCTGTTGCTGATGTTGCTTCCAGAGGCAACTCTTTAGTGAGTGATTCAACAAAGTATAGGCACTGTGAGCTTCGGCAGCACTCGGCACTGCTCTGTGAGTCTACCGCTTCGTGGCTAAACTGTTGTTGCTCCCAGATGCTTCTATTTCACAATAATAGCACTTACAGTTGTCTGGGGCAGATATAGCAGGACAGAAATTTCACAAACTCACTTGTAGCAGAGGTGATATCCTATGATAGAGCCATGTTTAAAGTCACTGAGCCCGTCAGTTTGACCCACTCTACTGCCAGTGTTTGTCTATCGAGACTGCAAGGCTATGTGCTTAATTTTATCCATCTGTTAGAAATGGGTTTGGCTGAAACACCTGAACTCAATAATTATGAGGGGTGTCCCAATACTTTTGTCCATATAGCGTACCTGGGATTGCCTCAGGAATACCAGACTGCATAGTAGGAAGTCTGTGAGATGTGCCTACAGAACAATTCTAGAACCCAACTGATGCTCCTCAGCCACACAGAGAGCCACTCTGTGCTCCCCAGCAGTATCAGAATTTCATCAAAGCTCCTCAATGACCCAGAAGGATGACGAATTCCAGGGGGTCCAAGCCCATGAAGGTGCCTCTTACCCCCTCAGGCCATGAGTTCTTGTAGAGGAGCCATTTCAAGGTCTTTGACTATAGGACTGCTAAGCAACAGGCTCAGAGTTGTTGGATAAAGGGCAGGGCAATGTGCCATCAGAGCAAACTTTGGTCATTTTGCTACCTAACTATGTCCAGCCTGGGAGCATCACAGCATTGCCGCAAGAGCTGCTGCTTCCTGGGGCAAAGATAGTAATCAGACGAAAAGAGTCTGTCCTGGGATTTGAATCCGTGATCTTGTTACCGGCTAACTTTTCCTGCCATCAGATCTAGCTTTAAGGTATCCTAAACTGATATGGAGCAGATAATTGGATAAAATGTTATAACAGTTAACCATTATTTTTGAGTGTAATACATCTTGTAAACACTGACAGTGACTACTTTAATTCCTGACCAAACTTTGTATTAGTCATTATTTTGTACTATTTGATGTTTTTCCCTTTTTATCTTTCAGAAAGGATTGACCTCCTGTTGCAAGTCTTCCCCTGCTCTTGCCTTCCTACGCAGTCCTAATTTACTTTCACAAACACATCAAGTAACACCACCAGAAGGAATATGTCACAGTAATTAAATGTGAGAATATGGTGTCCACAAGCTCCAGCACTCGGAAAACTATCCACAGTAACACATCCTGCAGACAATCACAAAAAAATATTGGCAAAGAGAGAACTCACCTTTGCTCAGATTGTGGAAAGAGTTTTGTTGACAGACATACTCTCCAAATTCACCAGCGCATTCACACAGGAGAGAAACCGTATTACTGCTCAGAGTGTGGGAAGAGTTTTAGAGAGAGCGGTACCCTCAGATCACACCAGCGCATTCACACAGGGGAAAAACCACATCACTGCCCAGAGTGTGGGAAGAGTTTTACTAGACAGATTTACCTCCAGACACACCAACGCATTCACACAGGAGAGAAACCGTATCAGTGCTCAGACTGTGGACAGTGTTTTACTAGACAAATTTATCTCCAGCTACACCAGCGCATTCACACAGGAGAGAAACCGTATCACTGTTCAGACTGTGGGAAGAGTTTTACTAGACAAAGTAATCTCCAACAACACCAGCGCACTCACACAGGACAGAAACCGTATTACTGCTCAGAATGTGGGAAGAGTTTTAATCAACATATTTCTCTGCTACAGCACCAGCGCATTCACACAGGAGAGAAACCATATCACTGTTCGGAGTGTGGGAAGTGTTTTACTAGACAGAGTAATCTCCAAGTACACCAGCGCATCCACACAGGAGAGAAACCCTATCAATGCCCAGAGTGTGGACAGAGTTTTACAAGACAGAGTCACCTCCAGACACACCAGCGCATTCACACAGGAGAGAAGCCGTATCACTGCTCAGAGTGTGGAAGGAGTTTTAATCAACAGATTTCTCTGCAACAGCACTGGCGTACTCACACAGGAGAGAAACCCTATCAGTGTTCAGACTGTGGAAAGAGTTTTACCAGACAGATTAATCTCCAAACACACCGGCGCATTCACACAGGTGAGAAACTAGCACTGCTTAGACCAGAGGTATCCAGTCTTATCCACAAAGGGCCAGTGTGGCTGCAGGTTTTCATTCCAACCAAGCAGGATCGTGATCAGTCATTTGAAGTCTGACCAACTGATTAAAGAAGTGGAATCAGGTGTGCTCCTGCTTGTTTGGAATGAAAACCTGCAGCCACACCTGCCCTTTGCAGATAAGATTGGACACCCTTGGCTTAGACTGTGGGAAGAGCTCCAGGCATTCCAGTCTAATGTACCTTTTTTCAACTGCACATAAAATTTTAACAAGTACAAATAGGCTTGGACAGTATCTATATTTTCATACCTTTATATCTTTCTGACATTTCACCAGGGTATACAGTATATAACGGTATTTGTCTTAAAAAAGGTAGAAGCTGAGCTGCTGGTGATAAACACAGTAAACTCTTTAAAGTAAACACAGACACAGTGCACAATTTTCAAGCCAATAAATGTTAAACCATCTACCAAACAAATGATAAATAAAAAGTGGCACTGGTTAGCGTTCACTAGCATACAAACAGCTCTGCCCACCAAAAAAAATGGTTCGATTCTGGCTAACTTAAGCACTGACACAGGTTTAGATGATTAAAACTAATGATTAAAATCTGAGAGAGTTGAGTCGAGCAACTTTTGAAGGGACAGAACGGCAAAATTAAACCTGTTCTGTGGTGTTGCGATCTGTTAGTGCTGCTAATGTTAGCGTTAGCGGTAGCTTAGCGAGCAGGCTACAGAAACAGTACCAAAATTGATGCTCTGTTGACACAAATTTAGAAGGTAAAAATTTTTAAGAGAGTAAAAGTACAGTGACAGTAAGCCGAAATCAAACATGTTCTGTGGTATGTGCCGTTACTGAGCTGCTCAGTTTTTCCTGGCTCTGATTCCCCCCCCCTCTTTCTATTAATGCCACTTATCAGTGAGCTCACACAGCAACAATCAGTGAGCCTTATAAATGGGTGGAATGTGTTGATTTATCCATTTAGATGTGGAATAGAAATGTGATGTCATGATTTTGAAATACTGTCATAGTTTTTAAACATTATCATTTTTACCTACCGTGGTATGTCGTATTATCATACCGCCCAACCCCAAGTACTACATCAATAAAACATAACATTAAAACCTCCTTATTGTTTCTGCACTAATTATCCATCTCATCATTGAACTTTTATTGTTTATTTACAAATGGTCACCCTGACTGATAATTGGGAATAGTCAATGGCTGACTGAAGCGATAAATATATCGTCGCTGTCCAATGAAAAACAAGTATCTCCAAAATATGAACTTTACAGGAGAAGGTAAAAACACTCTTACCTTTCAATGTAAGTCAATGTAAAGAGATTTTGTTCCAAGTGATTTTAGAGCATTTCTATTGATCCATTCAACATTAAATAAAGGACAGCTGGTGTGTTGAAATGATGTAAAAAACTAAAAATCAACAAAAATGGAGATACATTGTTTCATTGGACAGTGACGATATATAACCTGTATGTTTTTTCTCTGCCAAGCAGAAAGTAGAGAGCTGAAAACCGAAGAGGCCTGGTCAACTTGTTAACATCTTTGTGGAAAAAAAAAGTGTTCTCAATAAACATCCAAGCCTCCTTCTAAGCCCACAGCCTTGACGTCTCAGAAAGCTGAAGTGTCGTCTTCTGAGAAACAAACAGCACCACAACCAACTCTGCAGTGGAAAGGCAAAAGGGGCCATTTTTAAAACATCCATCTGAACTATGCAGTGGTAAGTTAAGCTGTTCTTACCAAAACATTACTGATTCAAAGAAAACAGCCCAGATTATTCATTATTTTTTGTTGTTGAGGCAGAATGTTATGTATGGCTTATCCTAAATATATAACTACAGTCTTGGAGATTTCAGCTAACAGATCCCATGGCTTACATTTAGAGGTCTGCATTACTTTGAAATGAATTTTATTTATGGCTGCCAATGTACTAAACAAGCTGTTAACTACTGAAAACTTGCCTAACACAATGCTAAACAAGACCCTCAAGGAGATAAATAAATCATTGGAAAGGTAAAATAAGTAAATGCATTCCTAAAATTATCTAGAATGCTGTTCTAGACTTTAAAAACAATGCAGTATTTTGCAAGTGTCAGAGATTATTTATTTACTTTTTAGTCAATACATTCTACAAAACCATTTTGTACAAGCTATTAATTTTTCAACATCAGGAAAAAAGCAGTATTTGACAGAAAATTACACAGAAGCCTCAACAGCTAAATACAGTATACATTTTTTTCAGTATTTAGTGTGTTCTCCTTCTGCCTTTAAAGAAGAAGCTATCTTGCTCATTATACAGGGGTGGGGAACTCTGGTCCTTGAGGGACTGATTCCTGCACTGTTTGGATTTCAAAAAGTTGGGACAGGGGCAACAATAGACTGGTAAAATTGTGTAATACTAGGACATGGGGAACATTTCACAATTAATTAGATTGGCAACAGGTCAGTAACATGATTGGGTATAAAAAGAGCATCCCAGAGAGAGTCTTTCAGAAAAGAACACCACTCTGTGAAAGACAATTCAAAAAAAAAATTTCATAATGTGAAATGGCAAAGAACTTTGGGTTTTTTTTTAGGATCATCTACGGTACACAATATCAATAAAAGATTCAGAGAATCCAGAGAAATCTTTGATGAAATGGACAAGGCCAAAAACCAGTATTTGCTGGCTGTGATCTTTGGGCACTCAGGCGGCACTACATTAAAAAGAGGACACAATTCTATAGTTGAAATCACTGCATGGGCTCAGAAACACTTCTGAAAACCGCTGTCTGTGAACACAGTTCATCGTTGTATCCACAAATGCTAATTAAAACTCTTAAACACAAAGAAGAAACCATATATACACAGGATCCTGAAATGCCGCTGCCTTCTCTGGGCCTGAGCTCATTTAAGATGGACTGAGGCGAAGTGCAAAACTGAGGTGATACAGCACAGTGGTAAACATGCCCCTGACCCAACTTTTTTTGAAATGTTTTGCTGGTGTCAAATTCAAAACATAAATTCATAAATCATAAATTTTTCAAAAAACATTTACATTTCTCAGTTTCAACATTTGATATGTTGTCCTAGTACGATTTTCACTTAATTATAGTGTTTAAATGATTTGTACATCATTGCATTCTGTTTTTATTTACAGTTTGCCTTGACCTTAACTCCATACAAAACCTTTTGGATAAACTGAAATGCCAAATGGGCGCCAGACTTTGTCATCCAATATCAGCACCTGACCTCATTAGTGCAAAATCTGGAGTCCTTCGTACAACAGTAGAGGTCAGCTAGTGTAATGTTCATAATACCAAACTGATATGGTCAAAACCTTTGCATTCTGGACTCATTGACACTCTGGAAATCTTACTAAGTTAGCCTAGTTGGCCGATACATACAATTTTGTGTCATCGGTATATCAGTTAGAGCTGATGCCATGTTTACAAATAAAAATACTCAATGAAACACACATAATGAGAATAGTAAAAGTTCTAGAACAGATTGTTTTGGAACCTTAATGTGTAAATCGTAATGCTACAATATACAATGGCATTCTAGAGAATTATGTGCCTCCAACTTTACGCAGGCACAGTATGGTGAGTTTGGTGTAGAAGCACATGACTGACCCGCACAGATCATTGAACTTAACCATATCCACCATGTTTGATATAAACTGGAACACTGTCTGTGAGCCAGGCCTTATCATCCAACAGCAGTACCTGATCTCACTAATGCTTTCATGGTTGAATAGAAGTGAATCCCGCAGTCATGTTCCAAAATCCAGTGTAAAGCTTTCTCTCAAGAGTGGAAGCTGTTACTGCAGCAAAAGGGGGAAATTCCATAACAGTGTCCATTTTGGAATGAGATGTTCAGCAAGCACATACAGTTGTGATGTTTTGGTGTTCACACACTTTTGGCCATTAAGTGTATATCAGTTTAAGTGAAACATCTCAAACTAACATATCCACCTACTTTTTAGGTCATGGCAGTTAAAGGTAAGGGCAGTCCCATAATTGAGTGCAATTGATTTTTACATGGTCAGGTGAAGGATGAAGATGCATTATATACACTTGCTCAATTTTTTCACTTAAAATGTTTGACAGTCGTTGTATATTTGGACAATGAGATACGTTTGTCTTTTATTTTTTTACAGTTTGCTGTGTGGCATGTCAGCCTACATCCTAGCTTGTCCTCTTCACTTCATCACATTGGTCCTCACAAATTACAGGGTGTAAGTGCTAAACACCTCTCCTCAGTAGCCTCCACGTGTTTGTTCTACACTGTGTAAAGTTGTATGCAGACCAGATCTTGTATACAGATTCCTTACGATCTTACACACACACTTTCGCACTCTTATGAAATCTGTTAATAGGCCTATCTGATCTTTTTTAGACTGAATTTTATTCCAGTGGTGTAGTGGTGTTTCTACAGGCGTATATACTACGATTTGTTTAAGGGATTCCCAACCTAATGTGCTAATTCACTGTTTTTGAGTGAAATAGTTTGTGCTGTGTCTTGGCTAGTACCATTACTGAGGTAACAGAAAATTAGCATTAGTGGAGTTTGGATGGTGACTGACATGTTCAGTTTTTTAAAAATGTTATTTTTGATTTTTTTTTTTTAATAATGCTTTACAAACTTGAAATTTGACTGAAATGTTTGTTCCCACTTTGTGTGCAAACTGAAAAGATCACATTGGTCCATAGCATTCCATGTACTGTAGTGCAATGCTTGCTTTGATGGTTATTATACCTAAATATAGTATACCTCATTGTGTAATTATTTATATATTACAGATGTAAATGCTCAGCAGTAAAAAAAAATCATCCTTTTTTATTCAATATAATCACTTGTATTCATCAACTTTATCCTCTTCTTCTTTTAATCAGTACTAACAACTGTTCATTGCAAAATTGTAAGTAACTATAAGCTCTATAGTAGTAATATTTCTATAACTTCTAGAACTCAATCTTTTGATTAATCATGGTTGTTAGTATATGGTTAAGTTCTGTTCATTTTATGTATGCTTGCTTCCTGAAATGGTTATAACATGGTGCTGCATTCTGCTGTACATTTATTTCTTGGGTCATGTAAACATCAAGTTTGTTAATAAATCTCTCATCATGTGTATCCTATCTCAGAGTTTTCCTTACAGTCACTCTATTGTTGAATCATAGAGTTATGTATTTTAAATTAAAATAAAATAAAAACAGTGTTCTATTTCAACAGTCAAAATAGTGCTTAGGATTGTTTATGGGCTGTATCATTACTTCAGCTTCACTATACTGTGAAGCTATTGGTAACATTATTTGGAGTGGTCATTTGTAGATGATTAATAAACTCTTAACAGAGTATTAGTAACACATCAACAACCTACCAGTAAAGTAGCAGTAAAGAAGCATCTGAATACATTGAGGTAAATATTGTGAAGATGTCCTGTTTATGCACTTCTTACATTAAGTATATGTATTGTTGATATGTTACATGAAGACTTAATATGTTACTTCTATTAAACAAAACCTAACCCTAACCTTAACCTCAATCTAAAACCTAATTCTAACCCTAACCTTAACCTCAACCCCCAACCTGATCCTAACCAGGTAACACTTTATTTGGATGGTCCACTGTAGATGCTTTGTAGATGCTGTCTATCTTTAACAAACATTCCAATACATACACACCAATCAGGCGTAACATTATGAGCACCTCCTTGTTTCTATGCTTATTGTCCATTTTATCAGCTCCACTTACTATATAGGTGCACTTTGTAGTTCTACAGTTACAGACTGTAGTCCATCTGTTTCTCTGCATACTTTGTTAGCCCCTTTTTACCCTGTTCTTCAGTGGTCAGGACCCCCATGGACCCTCACAGAGCAGGTACTACTTTGGTGGTGGGTCATTCTCAGCACTGCAGTAACACTGACGTGTGTTAGTGTGTGTTGTTCTGGTCTGAGTGGATCAGACACTGCAGTGCTGCTGGAGTTTTTAAACACTGTGTCCACTCACTGTCCACTCTATTAGACATCCCTACCTTGTCAGTCCACCTTGTAGATGTAAAGTCAGAGATGATACCTCATCTGCTGCTGCACAGTTTGTATTGGTCATCCTCTAGTCTTTCATCGGTGGTCTCAGGACGCCGCCCACAGGACACTGTTGGCTGGATATTTTTGGTTGGTGGACTATTCTCAGTCCAGCAGTGACACTGAGGTGTTTAAAAACTCCAGCAGCACTGCTGTGTCTGATCCACTCAGACCAGCGCAACACACACTAACACACCACCACCACATCAGTGTTACTGCAGTGCTGAGAATGATCCACCACCCAAACAGTACCTGCTCTGTGAGGGTCCATGGGGGTCCTGACCACTGAAGAACAGGGTAAAAGGGGGCTAACAAAGTATGCAGAGAAACAGATGGACTACAGTCTGTAATTGTAGAACTACAAAGTGCACCTATATAGTAAGTGGAGCTGATAAAATGGACAATGAGCATAGAAACAAGGAGGTGCTCATAATGTTATGCCTGACGTATATATATACACACACATACACACATAGTGAGAGCAATTGTCTGCAAGTTCAGAACCACAGCAACATTCATGAATGCAGAGGTGAAATAATCCAGGAAATCACCAAAACTTCCAGGAAAACATCCAATGAACTGCAGGTCTCTCTTCCCTCCGTTAAGGTCACTGTCCATGACTTCACAATAAGAAACAGACTGGGTAGTGAAAGTGACTCCATAACTTGCAGCCATTGATATTTCTCCTCTTCTGTCCTCTCACTGTTGCAACCAAGAAACAACCAATGTGAAGTGAAAAGGACAAGGCAGGCTGTAGATTTACAGGTCACACATTAAACATCTAAAATAACATAAAAGACAAAAGAAAGGGGATTAATTACAGTGTCTAAAATTGTTCCGTCATAAACTAAATCAATTGGTAATGGTTTTATCCACATAGATTAAGAAGTATCTGCCAATGCTGTCCCTTCTTTATGCACATAATACACCAGCAGTAAAACATCCCTGAGAGCGTACATGACTTGTCTTCATCCTTCAGCATCCAGATTGCTGTACTTCCCATATTTTTCCCTGATACTGTGGTGCTTGAAAATTTGTGCATAAATATGACCTAAAACATAATCAGATTTTCATGCAAGTCCTATAACTAGATAAAGAGAACCAAGTTAAACAACTGAAACATAAATATTATACTCAATCATTTATTTATTGAGAAAAATTATCATATATTAGTTATCTGTGAGAAAGAGACTGCGTAGCAAAAGTAACATCCACAGAAGAGCAGCAACACAGAAAACACTATTAAAAAAAAAAAAAATCAATGCTTGTCTCACATTCCCAAAAAAACACTTGGGCAATCTCCTAACCTTTTGGGAGAATATGAGTGGCAAAAGTATGTGAAACTCTCGGCTCAGCAGTTAATTAGTCAGGTGTTTTCAATTCATGTGACTGAAACCAGGTGTGAGTGGCAGACCTGATGCATTTAAAGATCAGAGATTGATTAAAGACAGATCTTCATAACGTTCGTGGAAGTGTATCATGGCATGAACAAAGAAGATTTCTAAGGATCTCAGTAAACGAGCTGTTGATGCTCATCAGGCTGAAGAGTTACAAACCACCTCTATTGACACCAATCAGCACTCTGTACAAATGGAGGAAATTTAAGACCACTGTTACACTCCCCAAGAGTGATCAACCAACAAAGATCACACCAAGAACAAGGTATGTAACAGTCCATGAGGTCACAAAGGAACCCAGGGTAACTTCTAAGCAACTAAAGGCCTGAATCACAGTGACTAATGTTAATGCTCATACATTTTTCATCAGGAGAACAATGAACAACAATGGTGTGCAAGGCAGGGTTGCAAGGAGAATGCTGCTGTTCTCCAAAAGGACATTGCTTCCCATCTGCAGTTTGCTAAAGATCACATGGACAAGCCAGAAGGCTATTGGAACAATATTTTGTGGACAGACAAGACCACAATAGACCTTTTCTTGTTTAAATGAGAAGCGTTATGTTTGGAGAAAGGAAAAGACTGCATTCCAGCATAAAAACTTTATCCCATCTGTGAAACACGGTGATGGTAGTATCATGGTTTGGGCCTGTTTTGCTGCATCTGGGCAAGACGGCTTGCCATCATTGATGGAACAATGAATTCTGAATTACACCAGTGAATTCTAAAGGAAAATGTCAGGACATCTGCCTATGAACTGAATTGCAAGAGAATGTGCAAGACAATGACCCTGAGCACACAAGTCGTTCTACCAAAGAATAGTTAAAGAAGAATAAAGTAAAGTTTAGCAATGGCCAAGTCAAAGCCCTGAACTTAATCCTATAGAAATGTTGTGGAAGGACCTGAAGTGAGCAGTTAATGTGAGGAGACCTACTAACATCCCAGAACTGAAGCCCTTCTGTATGGAGGAATGGGCTAATGGGCAAGCTGATCTGCAGAACTAATCAACAGGTACTGGAAACATTTATTTGCAGTTATTGCTGCACAAGTGGGTCACACCAGATACTGAATACAAATGTTCACCTATTTTTTGCCATAGATGTGTAATATTGGATAATTTCCTCAAAAAAGAACAAACAAGTATAACATTTTTGTCTCATTTGTTTAACTGGGTTCTCTTTATCCACTTTTAAGACTTTTTAAGCAATTACTGTGGTTAAAATATCCAAAGCCACCAATTAAAAAAGGGTGTGCACATACTTTTGGTTAACTTAAGTTACCACTGCAGAGTTCAGATGGGTGTTTTAAGCAGGGTGTCTCTTCATCTCTCACAGTGCAGTGGAGCTGGTTGTGGGGCTGATTTTTGGCGATCTGCTTCCCAGAAGATGAAACCTCAGCTTTCTGAAGATTAATATTTAAGAGAAGCCTGTGTTTTTAACACCTTGGACAGCTCACCGACTGTTGGACTGTGTGCTTAGCAGGAGGCTTGGATATGTTAACCAGGTCTTCAGTTATCTCTCTACAGGTACAGATAAACAGATTATAATCTGTTCTTTTGTCAGCTAGTCCATTAATAATCATTAATCACTAATAAATATTTCAAGTCATGCCATTTTTTGTTGCTATGCTTACTCAATACATTTTATAACACTTCTGTACAAAGAAAAAACAGCCTACTGTATTTTATTTACACTTCAAAGCATTTGAAATTTGTTTTAGTTGAATATTTCAGATAAGTCAACAAACAAACTTATCCGAATCATTATATTTGCATTTTTACCTCATTCTTTAGATTTAAATCCAGATCTATGAAGGTATTCCCACAGTCTGAGCAGTGACATTCACTGTGTGAATGTGCTGGTGTTTTTGAAAACGATTCAGTCTAGTAAAATTCTGCCAACGCTCCAAACAGTGAGACAGTTTCTGTCCTCTGTGAATATGCTGGTGTTCTTGGAGATTACTTTGTCTAGTAAAACTCTTCCCACACTCTGAACAGTGAAATGGTTTCTCTCCTGTGTGAATGCGCTGGTGTGTTTGTAGACTACTCCATGAAGTAAAAGTCTTCTCACACTCTGGACAGTGATAGGGT